TAATAACTAGCATTCCCAGCACAATCATTTGGAAAGGAGTCATGGTATAGTGGTTAGGTGTTGGACTAGGATCTGAGAGACCCAGGTTTGAATCCCTACTTGCCATGGAATTTCACTAGATGAACCTGGGCCAGTCACACACCCAGCCTAATAAATCTCACAGGAAGAAATGGAGGGAAAGAACGATGTAAGCCACTTTGGGTCCCCATTGGGGGGGAAAGTGGGGTATAATGAAAAAAAATACATAGGTAAAATCAGAATTATGATCACCTTCACTTGCTCCCTCAGTGCTGAAGACTTCAAGCCCACAGCCAAATTGAAGCAGTGACAGAATGAATATGTCCCCCTAAAAAACTTCATTAGACCCAGTACAAATGTTCTCCTTGGTTACTGACTGCAGAGCCTATAGATTCTTTATATATTTATCTGAATATTTTCCCTCCTAGACTCCTAACCAGCTTGGTTCTTAAGGAGACAAAATTGGAAAAATATAAACACAATGGTATTTAATGAGTTTAGAGTGTGGGTGTTACTTGTTTGCTCCACTTGGAAGACTGAGAAAAATACTATCCTTCACTGATGAAAAACTGCAGCATTTCTTAATAGTAAACTGCTGAAAAGTACCAGAATAGTGGACAACAGAACTGTAAATGTTGAAGCTGTGACAAAGACAGCATGCTGCCCATTATTTGATAACTCTACTTTTGTGCTGGTACAACTGAAATACAATTGTGTAAAATACCAGACTACAAGAAAGATTTTATCATTGGACCAATTAATATTTCTAGGTTTCAGATGCTTTTGTAAAAGTCCCTTAAATGAGTTTGTTTCCACTGTACTTGAATACACTTGCAGATAAAGACAAAAAATGGTCCCATTTCCAAAATTCAGTTGTGTGCACAGTAGGAAGTTAGTAGGCACAAAAGAGTTGCCCCTATACAAGCATCCGCACATAGGGGTCTCTTGTGCCCAGAAAAAAAGGAACAATCCAATTATTAGCCTTCTACCTATATAAGCCAATGGAGAACATAATTTTACACAGAAATCTGGGGAAACCATTGTGGATCAGGGATATTGTTAGAGCTGGTGGTGACCAGCCATTCCTTTGTTATGCAGATAGATGGCCATAGCTCAGGCTGATTAGTTGATATTTCTGATGTTAGGAGCTGGAAGTTATGGACCTCATTTGGAATACTTTGTACAGTTCTGGTCACCACACCTCAAAAATGATATTATAGCATTGGAACAAGTGCAGAAAAGGGCAACTAGAATGGTAAAAGGGTTGGAATACTTTCCCTATTAAGAAAGGTTAAAGCACTTGGGGCTCTTTAGCTTGGAGAAATGACTACTGAGGGGTGACATGATAGAGGTTTACAAGATTATGCATGGGAAAGAGCAGGTAGAGAAAGAAGTACTTTACCACTCAGCTGTTTGCCTCCCACCCTCGTCCTATGGGCATATCTCACTCCTTAAATTCGCTGCCACCACTCACAGAATCGTCACTGCCTTTTTAGAGGGACAGTGAGACCCCTCTGGCCGAATCTCCCTATTTGGAGATGGAATCCCCAATCTTTGTGGGATCCCTGGAAAGTTTATTATTTCGACACAGGGTTTTTTGTGTTTATCTAACTTAGCCGTGTTCCCTGTGTGCTTGTTGTTGTTGTTCCTCCTGGAGGTTGGGTGCCCTAGGCATAGCAGTCAGTGCTTCAAAGCAGGGGTCTGCTAGATCTAGGTTCTTGCTGTAGAAGCTGAGTGGGTGATTTTGGACCAGTCAGACTTTCAGCCTAACCTACCTCAGAGGGTTGTTGTGCAAGTCAAAAGGGGGAGAAGAGAATGATGTAAGATGCTTTGGTCCCCTTTGCAGAGAAAGACTACTTTTCCTCCTACAGTATGTGTGTGCTCCATAACTGTGTAAATAGTTAAATTCTTTAGTTTGGGCTAATAATCTGTGTTGTGCTCTGACCACATAGTCTCCCCTGCTCTGCACAATATGAAAGGGAGGGAGTAGCCCAGGGAAGCAAGAAAAGGCCAGACCCTTGGGCTGCCAACTGCTCTCCAGATGAGTCTAGGGTTGCTGGCTCCAGGTAGGGAGATTCCTGGAGGTTTTCTGGTAGAGTCTATGGAAGCCAGGGTTTTTTTTGGGGGGGGGGGTTAGAGGCCTCAGCTGAACAGAATGCCGAACAGTCAACCTTCCAAAGCAGTTATTTTCTCCGGGGGGGGGGGGGGGGCTTGTGTATTCTTTGGTCTGTCTTTGGAAGGCTGTCTTTGTATTATTAGTCTTTGAAGTTAAATAGTTATAAGTATTAGTGGAGCTAACTGGAACGTTTATTCATGTATTGTTTTTGATTTATGCATTGTGTTAAACATATTCCTTTATAAAAACCTTGAGTGGTAGCATTTCACGAGATATTTTGTGGTTGGGAATTGTAGGCCAGCAGATGAGGAAGCCCCATTCAACCCAGTGAGTGATACCCCTGCAGGCCCTCTCTGGAACTACAGCTCAATTAAACCTTATGGGGGAACATTTTAAACAAAGAACCACAGCCATCTTACAAACACAGGTAACTGCCATTTCGTGACACCTACCAACAGCCACTGAGGGGGAATTTAGTTCCACACAGGAGGCAAACAGAAAAGGCATCTTCATCAAAAGAGAAAGCTGTTTGCCAGTAATTCTGACAGGGCACAGTGGCTGAAGGGGGAGTGGGCGGGGGAGTGGGTGGGGGAGTGGGCAGGGAAGAGGAGCAGACCCAACACCTGGCCAATGGCACACGAGTACTCTTGAGTGGTGGCTGACAGGCCAATCGCCGAGGGAGTACATGGAATGTTGCCACTCAAAAACAGAATTATTATATATATATATAGAGAGAGAGAGAGAGACAGAAGATTATTTTATTATAGAAAAGTGATAATGCATTCTAGAACTGGCAGGGGGGAAAAACCCTAACCCTAATTACAGCAAAGTGAACTGCTTTTCAGCTGGCTACACAGCCTCTTAGTTTTCTGAAGTTTTCATTAGCAAGGGTAACATTAATTTTCAGGACTTGCTCAGCATTTATTTTAGGGCTGAATTGCTGCATAGGATCACATTTCTGCAGGGCTCCAACCTAGAAAAATCAAGTATAGGTGCTTTTCAGTGCTGTCCTTAACAAAGTTACACCCATCTAAATTTGTTGACTTCAATCAATTTAAGAACATAAGAGAAGCCAGTGTTGGATCAGGCCAATGGCCCATCCAGTGCAACACTCTGTCACACAGTGGCCAAAAATACCAGGTGCCATCAGGAAGTCCACCAGTGGAGCCAGGACACTAGAAGCCCTCCCACTGTTGCCCCCCCCCAAGTGCCAAGAATACAGAGCAACACTTGTCCCAGACTGAGAATTCCTATCTATACCCTGTGGCTAATAGCCACTGATGGTTCTCTGCTCTGATTTAGAAGAGTATAACTCTGTTTAGGATTGCACAGCTAGAATTAAAAATGGAAACCAGAACTAGGATGGCCAGATTCTCAAGAAACAGGCACTTAGTGACCAGACTGTTGTCTAAAACTAGAGCAGCCACATCGTTTAATGGTTGTATAAGAGGGAATTTCAGTTGGGGCACCTTTTAATGAAGAGTAAGGTAACTGCTCTAGTTAAAATTCTGTGTCTTGCAACATAATTTTAAAATCTTTTTGATAAACTGATTCACAATATAAGGAAAAAAACAGGAGGAAGACAAAAAATTAACACATACATTTTAAAAATTAAATTTAAATTAATTAAAATTAAATTTAAAAATTAACACATAAACACTAGTAAAAACAGAACTAGAACACTAACAGATATGCATTAATACTGGTAAGCAGAAACATTAACATTAAACTAGAATCCAGAAATAACAGGTGTTCATTAAATGTTAGTAGACAGTAGCATGAACAAACTTAATACTAAAATTCATTTTAAAAGTAACAAGATATGGGAGGAGGGGAAGTCTGCAAAATCAGAGGTACAGGAATTCTGCCCTTTGTATCCAGTTCCCTTATTGGCATCTTTCTCCCTATGATACCTTTTAGCTTGCAGTAAAACATGACTTGTATGTGACACCTGTCAGGTCAGGTGCCAGTTTGCTCTTCAAAACATGCCCATGTTGCAGAAAACAAATATCGACCCATGCTTTTTACCTTTCCACCCAAGCAAGCTGGCACATCACTTGAGCTACTCAAGACCGCCCGAGTGTATCTTGATTGTTTGCAGGACTCAGTCCAGAGGTCATAAACACAGAACTGGAACCTGGAGAATTTATTGTAGAGCTGGACAGGGTTCAATTTGCCTTTGCTGGCTTTTACTGGTGTGACTCAAGAGTACCTCTGCAACCCTAGGTTATATCTCAGCTAATGCTGCTGACCCAGCAAGAGATGAAGGTGAATTACTTTTTAGGCTCAGGTTACTGAGGGGCTCACCCTCCCTCCCGGATGTGTTGCATTTTCAGCTTCAAGAATGTGAAGCACTTTAGTAGTTTGGCTCTTCTTCTTTTTGTCTCCTGAGTTATTTGCTATTATATGGAAAGAAACAGGGACCTATGGGAGGGAGACCACGATTTATAAGCAATGGATCCATTTCAGACTAAGCAGCCTCTGCCTCCATATAATAAGAGTTCAGTTTGGTTATCAGATGCGGTTATCAGAGGTCACTTTCCCGGCTCCTTGACTGCAGCTTCAGAGCAAGGGTGGCTCCTCGGGGCCTCTCGGCTGGCTCAGGCCTCCCTTCTCTATGGCAACAACGTGGAGGCGCAGGCTACCCCCCCCCCCCCCCCCTAGACTGACCCCCGCCCTAGCTGGGGCGTGTTTG